ACGTGTTCCTTTCTGTTTGAACGCGTTTTTTTAGCTGATACTTGACCTGGGGTCATTCGTTAGATTGTCGGAAGTGAGTTTTCATCTTGTTTGCCTACCTCCGTTTTGTGCTGATTTCGTTTGACCAGATACGTGCGTGTTTTCTGTCACCGCTCTAGCAGCATTCCACATATCATTGCCTCTTCACCAGCTACTCTTACAGCTTTTCATCGTGGATTTCGGATTTAACACAAATGCTAGATGTTGGCATGTAAGCGGTCTTATTCCGAGAAAGACGAAACTCAAATTCTTATCTCGCTGCTTTCCAGAGACGCTGTCGCCCTCAACATCGGTGGTGACTCTTGGGAACTCGAACAAGTCCAGTCGGCTTATGATGCCGCCTTTTTCATCCTCAATGCCAATAGCAATACTGCAACAACCGGATCCGACCCCGCAAACGGCACCCAAACTGCAAACAAAGATATCAAACTTTTCCTCTCGTTCGATTACACCTCATTTCCATGCAACGCAACGCAAACTATCAACATCGTCCATCAATTTCGAGACCATCCTGCGCAGTTTGAGTACGACAAAGGCAAACCTTTAATCTCAAGCTATTCTGGAACGTGTTTAGGCGTCGACGGATGGATGCAAGTTAAACAAGACACGAATGGGTATCTGATGCCGTTCACCTATGGAGAAGATTATGAAGATTTGAGAAAAGGCAAGGTTTGGGGGGTATTTGATTCGTGGTACTGGTAAGTGATCGTTGCGTCTGTTTTGCGAATGGCTACTCATGAAATGAACGGACAGTTGGGGGTGTGCTTGGCCACAGGGAAACTATACGAAGAATGTGAGTTTGCCACTTGGTATGCTTTGAAATTTCGTACTGATTAAAGATACTCCGTTCGAGCAGACAGATGACGATCGCTGGTGTTAGTGTCTGGTTTCTCTGGACTATGTAAATGTATAACCGCTTTCTTGAACATATAGATATGGACATTCTTGGCCCTCGGCGATACGTCCCTACGATCAGCGGATGGATGTTGTACGTCCCACTTATTATCGAGACAATTCTATTCCCTGTTGAACTTTATAGCACTCATTTTGACTACAAGAACTTTTATCTTCCGGGAGAAGGGTGGTTATTGAATACCCGTTGGGAACAGCTCTTCGATATGCGGGATAATTTGACCTTTGTTGAAATGCTTACATGGTATTATCATATATTATGTCGATGGTGTCGATGCAGCTTATCGTCCTCGCGAATAGGAACGATTACGGTGAATCGGACTAGTAAGTGATCTCTCGCGTCTTCCTGGCCTTCTTTTTTTGATCTCCCCGAAAGCTTTGGACCACTGGACGCCGGGCAGCAACCGATAGGCAAATCTGATTCTTATACTTTCGAGTTGAACCTAATGCATTCGTTCGCTAGATACGACATGGGCAACGGGATTTCCCCATCACCCATGGTTGGACATGTCCAAATATTATATCGAAGCTTTCAAAACGGGTATCTGGCCTTTGGTAACCGTCTGTATGTTCCTATTTGTCGTCTCATTCATCAACTGACGAAAATTGACTCGCAGGAAGATGCAGTATACTTCTGGTGTCGTCCTCATCCTAAAAATGCAATCGCGTTGAATGATCCGCTCGGGAAACCTGTTGGATGGGATTGGGCGAATGTGAGTTGGATTAAGATCCCCTGAAAAATGCCGCACAAACACTTACATGTTGCAGGACGCCCTTTGGGCCATCATATTCTGCGCGTCTACTTGCGATGTTGAACTCTGGATCGGGTCTCGTAGCCAGCTTTATTCTGATCTTCCTTATGGTGTTTCCAAGATCAAGATGGACTTGAATGAGAATGATGAAGGACCGATTGGAATTCGACTGTACAAAGCTCTAGTCGTGTCTGATCCTTTGGATGAGTCGGAGCCTACAGAGAACCTGAGCTCGTTAAAGTTGGAAGTCGTCGAAGGTTCAACGCACGGACAGTTTGAGTATAATCAGTTTACGGAATTGTGTAAGACACAACTCTCTTCAATTCTGAATTGCGTCCTAATCTCTTCGTTTGCTAGATAATTATAATGTATTTGTTGGGAAAGTGAGTGTGATGTAATTGATTGGTTTACTGGAATGAACGTTCTGAATAACCCATATGACCGTATACAAAATGACGAATATCCCTGAGCACTAGTGCTGACTACTCTGCAAATGTGGAGAGCTTCAATCAAGAGTCTGATGACGCTCTCAGCGCTTATAATTCGCATTAGCCACTGTCGAGTGCTCATAACTGTACTCGATTGCCTGATCAGCCAGATAGTTTGGCAACTTCGCTTCTCCCCACATCACTGCGTGTCCGGTGGCAGTGGCAACGGCGTTGGTGACTACCTGATCGCCAGTCGGATTGTAAGTGGGCCAGACTGGAGCAACAGGAGTGTGGTTAAGTTGATATTGGTAAACATTGCTACCTTGCTGAATGCCGTTTATGATATCAGATCTACAAGTCGTTAAGTATACTCAGCCAGAGAATCGAGAATGATACTTGCCCGATATGATGAGCATGTGGAAGTGCATGAGTGGCTGCGACTGTTGATGACTCGAGCGCTGCCTCGGAAAACGCACTAGTGGCTTGTCCCGATATGTCCTCTATTCCCTGTGAAATCTCGTTTCCGATTCCCACCGACACGAGACCAATGGTTACTCCTGCTACAAGGTCTCTATTGCGCTCGCGGGGAATCGGAAGACCTCTCCGGCACATCTCATCCTCTATCAAACCTTTCTGTTTCTCGAGAACACGAATCTGGCGGTAGGCATATGCAGATCCTACAAGGCTGACCCCACCTGTGGCTGTGGCGGCCCCAAGACCGCTACCCACTGCAACACCATGTGTCATGATCTGCCTAACCTTCTGGTGATGTTTCTTCTCGAGCTGGTCATTGTAGGTGCTCTGTAGATGCCGGATATATCTCTCTTGATCGAAGTGGAAGGTGTCTCGTAACCCCATGGTCAGTGTAGCAGCGCGGAGAGTTGCTGATAAGGCGAACTGAGATGGCACTGTTCTCTTATAAACCTATCTTGAACTTCAAGTGAGCGCCTACAAGTGAATAAAAAGAAAGGCGCCCCGGGAACGAAAAAAATACCCTTCCTAGTTTCAGGGTCCAGATAGAACAGTTGATGGTAACGGGTTCACTTGCTGAAATTTTTTGATACATTACTCAGGCTCTATTGATTTTCGAGCGGTGTATGTATACTTTGTCTCTCCCTGGCGTCTAAGGCTCTGAATATATTGTTCTTTTGCTGTTCCAGGTATTGCGGCTGAGTTTACACTGAATACAGCGTATATTGAGTCGCGATGTCCTTGTCGATAAAAAATAGAGAGCAAGTTCCCGAGTGTCAACTTTCGGATTTTCCAGCTCGTTCCCTCCGAGTTTTAGTATTCGATTCTGCCTTCACTCCTCTGAATAAACGGGATCTTCTGACACCGCCATAGGCCAATCCTGCATTCATCGCCATTGATTTTAATGGGCGATACGGGATGCCATCGAAACCCTTTACCCTCCTCTCCTTTCTCCCCTTCAGCCTCAAGTGTTTCTTCCAACATTTTTGCCGGGACATACTCAAATTACAATTTGTATGTTAGGAAAGCCGGTTCCAAATCAAATCACATAGAAACAAAGTATGGAGGAAACAAAGTATATCGAATGAATGGTACGCGAAATCGGAAATTGAAGCTTGAGGTTACCAGTGACTATTATGTCCAAGAAATTTTTTTGATAAAGGTGGACTGAATGTGTGTGAGCCCGTGTTTTGTTATAAGCATCGTCTCATAATTCCTCTCCGTGTCCGTGTAGAAATGAATAACACTCTCAACGCTTATGATTCACAGTCGAGTGCTCATAACTGTACTCCATTGCCTTATCAACCAAAGAGTTTGGTAATCGAGCCTCGCCCCACATTACAGCGTGTCCAGTGGTAGTCGCAACAGCACTACTGACTACTTGATCACTAGTTGGATTGTGGATGGGCCAAGATGGAGCAACAGGAGTGTGGTGAAGCTGATATTGATGGACATCACTACTGCCTTGTTGAATCGCATTTACAATATCAGATCTATAAACCAGGATTATTGAACATTTTCAACTACAGGATCAGGAGTGATACTTGCCCAATATGGTGAGCATGTGGAAGTGCATGAGAAGCTGTGGCTACTGACGACTCGAGCGCTTCCTCAGAAAATGCACTACCAGCCTGTCCCGAAATGTGCTCTATTCCCTGTGAAAACTCGTGTCCAATCCCCAACGACACAAGACCAATCGTAGCTCCTGCTGCACGGTCTCTGTTGCGCTCGCGAGGAACCGGAAGGCCTCTGCGGCGCATCTCGTTCTCTATCAGGCCTTTCTGCTTTTCGAGGATATGGACTTGGCGGCAGGCATATGCAGATCCTACAAGGCTGACCCCGGCTGTGGCTGGGGCGGTCCCAATACCACCACCGGCTGCGGCGTGATATGTAATAATCTGCCTGACCTTCCGGTGATGTTTCTTCTCGAGTTGGTCGTTGTAGGTGCCCTGTAGATGCCGAATATATCTCTCTTGATCAAAGTGAAAAGTGTCCAGCAGTCCCATGGTCGAATGACAGCCTACGGAGACAGAGGTGAGAGATGAGAAGTTCGAAGACTCCTCTTATTGTATATGTACTTGCTAGTGAGCGCCTATGAATGAACAGAAATTGCCTTTTCTAGTTTCAGGCTCTTCTAAATAATAGAAACAGATGTCAGAAGAAGTCGGAATCATGATTGCAACATGTTTGGCTGGTTCGAGCAGAATATTTTTGTACATCACTCCACTACGTGGTGTCTCAGCGCTTAGGGCTCCGAATATATTGTTCATCGGGAATTCGACTGTTCCGGCCGGGGTCGAGAGCTAGCGGAACGCACTTTCGTGATTCAGAACTTGTCCTTCGCCGGATTAGCAGGAGGAGAGCCAAAATGTTCAACCTAAAAATCGGTAAAAAGATCTGACGAAAGTGGGATTCGAACCCACGCCCCGAAAGACTAGATTAGGAAATAACCTGATTCTAGCGCCTTAGACCACTCGGCCATTTCGCCATACCAACAATGGGGCAGTAATGGGATAGTACCAATAGAGCTCGAGCGCTTTCGACACACCGGTTTTCTCGCTCAAAGCAAGCACCCTTGGTTCCACAATTGCGGTGCCGACTGCACTTTGCTCTGGATAAAGGCCTTGACAAGCTGGGTGTCAAACCAGCAGCCACCATGATGGACATATAGGTTGCGGATTTGGTGAGTGTAACCAGTGTGAATTGCCACCAAGGACACAAAATCGACAAGAATTTGCAAATGCCGTTGGAACGCATCAAGGAATTTTGCTTTTTCGTAGATTCATTCGAGCATAGGTGTTGGCTGGGCGTACATGGTGGTTGAATGCTAAAAAGTCTGGTTGGTGTTACTATTTGGTCACTGAGGCCGAGATGTATCTGCTTTCGAAAGGGCTACTGGCGGCCGTGCGCCGTTACAGAACGAAGGCGTGCCTGACGTCATAGAGCGAGTACGGGCATCACCCAGCGCTTGGTAAAAGCTGCTCGACAAGACAAGAGCAACGCCAACGTGCAGGAATGCCATTACTGTACAGGCCTTGCAGCAAAACAGCGGTGGCGGCTGCGCCGGGCAAAGCAGTATCTCGTTTGCTCAAAAGACAGTGCCAACCGATCTCGATCGAACTCGGTAGGTTACAGGGTGGTGTCAGAAACGGCACAGCCGGAGTCACGATTCGAACCCACACCCCGAATGGCTAGATTAGGAAATAACGCGCCTTGGACCACTCGAGCATTTCGCCATAACAGAAAGGCAGTAATGAAATAACTCTCGAGAAATACCTTCAATAACACAAGCTCAATAGAACTCGAACGGAACAACTCTCCTGCTCATGGCACCACCGGTTTTCTCGCTCAAAAGTTGGTCAATAGTTTTGATCAACTCGAGAGAGCGTAAAGGTTCTAATGATATGTTCAACGAAGCAAGCACCTATCGACTATACAGAGTCACGTACTGCGTAAAGTGTCATTCATGCCAGCTGAGATCGCTCTTGTAGTTTCGACTAACGTCAAATGAGTTCCTTTTACAGCGGACAAGGGCATAAGCGTACGTGAAAGGCCAGCAAGTAATCCAATAATGGGCACCGGAGATACTCCCATATCTTTCTCGTATTTCCTGATCTGTTCAGTCGCTTGAAAACCATCCAAAACTGGCATGTTGAGATCCATCTATTGTTGAACCTTAGTATGAGGATGCTGGCATAGGAGGCATAGGCACACCAGAACGACATCAAAATTGAGGGAAGTCTCTTCACAACCTCCGCAACTCTTCTTGTACACGTCTACTGCTATGGCTCCATTCTCTGCCAAGTGCACTTTGTGGCCGTATTTTTCGAGAATCTTTGTTGCTAGCTTGCAATTGACACGGTTGTCCTCGGCAACCAGGACATCATATGAAGGCCCCGGACGCTCGATGCGTGTTGAAATAGCATCGATCAATGCGGAGGAAAGGTTTGCCAAGGAAATCGGCGTGGTCAGGTATTGGTGAGAAAGAACGTTGTTCCTCATACACCATTTCACTAGATGATAGTCAGTCACCGGAAATAGAAGGGAATAAGAACTTACGGTCGAGGCTCTGCATTGATGGAGTGAGAAGTACTATAGGCGTCCAGTTAAGATGTTCAAGCACGCGCACCTGCTCAACCTATATATTGAAAGATAAGGAGTTAGCCTTCGTTTTGGTAGCAGACAGCACGAACAGTAGCTGCTGAATCTACAACCACTGTGTCTGGCTGAGGAAACTTGGACTTGTCCGACAATGATTCTGTGACGTGCACAACAGTTATATGACAGCCAAGATTTCTAATCTGGTCTGCAACCCCCGTCTGGTCGCGTAGTGAGTCAACGAACAAAACTTTCTTATCAGCGAATTCAAAGACAAGATCCGAAGAATTGACTGTCTGAGAGGGCGCAGTAAAGATAGCTCGGTTCCCCCCGTCTGCATTGGAATGTACCCAAATGTTGCCGTGTATATGACGAACCCTCCTCAATGCAGATCGGAGAGGGTAGTTGATGCCGAGATCATTGGGCTGAACAAAAAGTTATAGTTAGCTCAGGTATACAGTCTTTGCAGTAGTATTCACCATCAGATCCTCTGCTTGGAAGTACTGGAAAAGCAAACCGAGCTTCTCCTGTCCAACACTGGGGCCTGTGTCGTGAACACAGAATTGTAGTAAAAGGTCGTCGTCATGCCTTTCCAGCAGGTTGCAGCTAAGCGATATGCGTCCAGGCTCAGACTGTTGCCCAAGATTGCTGATAGCATTGCGTACAAGATCGTGTATAAGATTCCGTATATGAAGGGGGTATCCGAGAAAATCATCCGGAATGTTAGCTTGGACGTTGTATGAGAAATCTATGCTCGAAAAGGAGAGACCGGGGGCGATGGCGGACGCAAAGCTACGAAATACGAGTTGTCGAAGAGAATAGTTTGATTTACCATCCAACTCTGCGTTCATTGCCTTGCTTTCGCGGGGTAAGGGACAATTTGGACTTCAGATACTGTTGAAATACCGTAAGGCCCGTACGTTTGTCGATTCCAGGTCAAAGAAATAAGAACGGAAAGGGTTGGAATCAAACGAAAATGAAGCTGTCAGTGTCACACGAAGCCACTTGAAGTTGGACCGTAACTTCCACCTGTTTTGTCATGGACTCCACACCGGCCGCTCTTTTCGAATCCTACCATCAAGATTTCGAACACATAATCCGTAGCGTCAAACAGAAACTCGAAAAAGATGTTAAGGAACAGCGTGGCGGTATGTGAAGCACATTTTTCATCTCTGACGTCGTTACCAACAATGCTGTAGAGCAACGCAAAGCAACTCTTCGACGAGTGGAGCTGGACCTCGACTCTGCTGATGATTTGGTATGTTTTCCTTCTCTTAGACAGGAAATACCTCCATTCTATTGTTCTTTCGCAGATATCGCAGCTAGAAGTCGAAATTCAGGGGATTCCAGCTTCAATAAGGCCGCAATATACAAGTCGGGCAAAGGAGGCCAAAGCAGACCTACAACGTTGCAAAAAACTAGCCAGAGATTGCGTGGTGAAGAGGGATGACAAGCTGGTGGACCAGTACAACGTATCCTCTGACCGGCCGTATGATGAAGCAAATGAAAGGACCAGATTGTTGACTGGCCACGAAAGGTTAAATGATGCGAGCCAGAGACTACAAAACTCAACACGACTCGCACTGGAGACAGAGGATGCAGGAGCGGATATATTAAGAGCCTTGCTCGTGCAGCGAGAACAGATTGAAAATGCAAGGGGCACGGTGCGTCGACTAGTTCATGTAGCGAGTTATTGTCATTCTCACTTGACTTTAGCTCAATACTGCAGATACCTCTATTGACCGCGCATCGGGGACGATTCAGAAGATGATCAGGCAGTGAGTGGTTTCTACGTCGTCTGGCATTATTCTGAGCTTGCGCTTTCGATAGGATGTACAAGCAAAGGTTCATAATAGGAATTCTCGTTATTGTGCTAATCATTGTCATTGTTGTGATATTATACTTCAAGTTGATACGACACTGAGGATTCTTATTCTGTTTCTTGGATATATCTGTAATGTATGTTACTTGTCATGTTATTTTGTACGTACATATCCTACTGTTTTTACTTCTTTTGCTACGAGTTCGGACACACCTCTAATGATTAGCTACTTTTTCCTGGAGTTGGGAGTGATTTATTAAGGTATATAGTAAGCGGTCTAGGAATTCTTCTCGTTGGTTATACTCCAAAGATCTGTCCAAAGTATTTCTTGACGCCCTCCACTCCGCTGACCAAACCTCCAATCCAACTATCGGGTCTGACGATGACTATTCCTCCATCCGTTTCATCGACGACATAGTGTTTGTATGCGTATCCATCACGGTCAACGACAATGTAGTCCACTCCCGATCCTGGTTTCCTGATATTTTCTTCAGGTGTAGCTCGAGGAAATACAAAGACAGTCTGGACCGTGCCAGCAGGGAATTCAGCAATAGCTTCAATCAAATTTTCCTTGCGTCGCGTTGCCCCACAGAAGACCAACACGGTATGACGTGTCGGATTGAAAATGTCGAAGAGCGTTGTTTCTGTAGCAACTGAATCCTTCCTGACCAGTCCAGGAGCATCTGGGGCTCTATCACCAGCTCTCACAGTACCATCTTCCCCAGCGCGATAGTGATCCACCGGTTCTTCAAGTTCTCCGTGTTTTTCATCCAGAGTCAACGGGCTCCCGCGGTAATTAACTCCAAATTGTTTCAGCTCATATCCTCTCTGCCAACCTGCCAATCCTTTCTGAGTAGGCGAAAATGTCTTGTGATAAAGCTCTGTGGTCTTCTCGAGCATAGCAGCGATGACAGGGAGGCGCTCTTGAGAATAGGTCTCTATTAGTGAGTTGGATGCAAGGTTCTTGAAGGTCAGGGAAAGTTTCCATGCGAGATTGATCTAATAAAAGGATATTTATTGAAAGGCGAAGAGAATTGGTTGAGAGAAAACGAACTGAGTCTTGAATCCCAGAGTTTAAGCCCTAGAGAGAAAGGTTGTTAGGTCGAAGTTTTCGGAATCGGATCAGACAATATATCACCTGTCCGCCAGTCGGACTGTGTACATGAGCACTGTCTAGAAATCATTCAATATGCACGTTCTCTCGAGGCAAGACGGACTAGCTCACCGCCTGCAACGAAGACACGTCCTCGACCAAATTCATTGACCATTCGGATATTGGGTCTGACTGGCGTATTAGACTCGCTTTGAAAGGGAAACAGAAAACATTACCTCCACTGGCTCTGCCATAGCAATTCGCCAAATTCCAGGTCATTTCGCCCTGTCACCTCCTGGAAAGTCTTGATGAGTTCGTCACGGCTAGAAGAAACCCTTGTGATATCAATTTCGGGACCTCCCATGAAGAAGTTGAAGCGATCATCCCCTTGGTTCGTGGTGAAGGGTCGGACAACCAGGCTGACAGCGAATACGTTAGACTGCATGAAACGGAAGCGGAGTAGAGACGAAGTTTA